ACCAGAGCTTGTTCATCCTGTAATTACAGTTACCAGAGCTTGTTTATTCTGTAATTACAGTTACCAGAGCTTGTTCATCCTGTAATTATAGTTACCAGGGCTTGGGTGCTTTAGATATAAAATTAATGAAGATTAATTAATCATTATTTAGCAACTGTTTTGAACTCAGTATTTCAGTATTTTGAAGCCATATTTTACTAGGTAACTTGATATTGGCTAATATTTACTTGGTATCGTCTAATAAGTTTTACTTAAAACTCTGATATTTAATACCTTGATTGTTACTGTATCAGGTGCACTTAGTAGTTAAACATTTCATTTTTTTGTATTTCCTGGAGCTTATGGGGCTTTAAAATAGTTGGTACAGTGCTGTTTAAAACTTTATCAATATTTTAATACAAATAGATGCTTTATCAATCACAAGTATTTAGTGTTCATACGTTATAGCACTGAAACATGACTTGTTAGTACTAAGTAAATTTGACGTTGATTGTGATTAAGCTTCTAGTATGATAAAGTGTTTGCTACCAAAATAACTTCAAGCACGTTGTATATGAAACTGTATTTGGTATTATTCTGATAGGACCCCATAGTAGCAAACACTTTGTCATACTAGAAGCTTGGTATTATTCTGATAGGACCCCATAGTAGCAAACACTTTGTCATACTAGAAGCTTGGTATTATTCTGATAGGACCCCATGTAGGATGTGTTCATGAAACACTATTCACATTTCAGTTTTTTCTCTTTTAGTATTATTGATGCCAAATATAGGTTTATTTAGCGATATTACCTATATTTACAGTTACCTATTAGTTGATTTGCACCCTCCACCTCTACACAATACTTCTAAACCTGTAGGTTTGGTTTTGTTAAGCTTTAAGTACCCTAGTGGTTTCGGATAGAAACAGACATTGTGTAGATCATTAAAGCTTTATAGCAGTGTGAATGCTACCATCTCCAGATCCTTCCTGTATTCAGAATATTTAAAGATGTTAGTCAAGACCTCCTATAAACCATTTATGTAAACAAAAAGCATGTTTCTTTAATGTTCCAACAGCTAAAGAGTGAGTCGTATAAAAAAAGCCCATGAAACCTAGTTACAAAAATCTATTGTAATGTTTTAAGTGAAAAACGGGAAGTCAGGTTACGAAGCACAAATTATTAAATATTTCTAATTACTGATTAGAATATCACTTTAAGTCTATTTAAATTGTGCGAATGTTATATTCATGATGTTAGGAAAACACGTAAGTTCCAGAAAGCAATTTAACTCAAAATTACGATACCCTACAACCCGAGCGCTTTCGAAAAGTAGACCCTCCTTCTTCAGGGACAAACTAGGAATAATCGTGTAAAACAAAGTTTGAGATAACATGAAGAGTAAGTGACGTCGTGCAAGCTACCATGGTAATCCGGAAGTGTTTTGAGTAGTCTTCAATGTATTGTTATAAGTGTTTCTCATTTCCGGTGCAATACTACCGGAAACAATAGTGTTATGTATAAAAAAAAATCAAGAGATGTATTGTTTTACAAAAGAAAAATGGTCGAGAGAAACTACACTAAATGTTAATAATGTAAAATATAAGTGTAGTGTGAAGAGTGGTTAAATAAAGGAGTGTTAATATTATATCCTTAAAACTAATATTTATCAGTGGTTTAATAAAAAGTAATTTATACACAGGGAAGTAAAAAAAGTTTGGTTACTTGTTAACATCTGGAGTTATAAGGACTTAATATCTAGCCATGTTTTCCAGATACATAAAATTATGTTATCCTTGACAGAGATAGCTTGTTTGTTTTGAATTTCGCGCAAAGCTACACGAGGGCTATCTGCGCTAGCCGTCCCTAATTTAGCAGTGTAAGACTAGAGGGAAGGCAGCTAGTCATAACTACCCACCGCCAACTCTTGGGTTACTCTTTTACCAACGAATAGTGGGATTGACCGTAACACTATAACGCCCACACGGCTGAAAGGGCGAGCATGTTTGGTGTAACGGGGATTCGAACCCGCAGATTGCGAGTCGAGCGCCCTAACCACCTGGCCATGCCGGGCCTACAGAGATAGCAAGGTTAGAATTACCTTGACAGCTCGTATGAAGAAACGTTTCAACTAGGATATAAAGAATAATCGTTTCTGATGTTTTTGTAGTATATCAAGTGGTACTTATATTAAGCAAACTTTTTCTATGCTTCTATGTACTGAAATTGAGTGTGGGTCGGTGAAGAAGACATCTCTTGTAGCTCTACGGTCCAAAGAAGGCCCTATTATCGTTGCCTCAGAAGGCCCTATTATCGTTGCCTCAGAAGGCCTTCTTATTTACCTTTGGTGTCGTAGTGCCAAAGAACTTGAGTTGTTGTTTTTCAATTGAAAAGTCTTAAATTGTTTTTGCAGTTTTAGATTTGTAATCATGACTGATGTGATTTACCGAAATATTTATTCCAAGTTAACATGTATACAAAATACTGTTGTTTCTATAAATAGGTAAAAACATCCCACAAAACTATAACCCTGAAGGCATTAGTCAAGTTTCCGTTATCTTGACATATTTGTGACACGTCCTCAAAGTTTAGTTGGTTCCATTTTCTGGACCAGTTAAAATACTACACAAGTTTCATTACAGTGAAATGCAAAAATGTTATACTTAATAAACTGGAAGTATAGGCATAATGTATGGAAACATCTCCTTTGGTTTGCCAGCTAAATATATTTACATAGAAGTTTCGTGTCTTCCAAATAACTACTACTCATTAAAGTTATTCCCTCAAATAACAATCTGAGTAGTAATGCTAAAGTCAGTTCTTTTTATAACACTAAAAAGAATAATCCAAAGTTAGGTTTTAATAAAAACCTTGGAAAGGTTGAACTGTAATAAATCTGCAGTTAGTCTGCCAAAGCTATTACTCCACGCATGACGGTTGATATTTTTTCGATGAATTTGGTGTAGAGTTTTTTTTATAGATGCAACTTACTTTCTAAGCCACCTGGATAAGTCTCAAACGGTATTGCTATCGTTTTACTCTGTGTATAACCTCCGCTAAAATTTAGTTTATTTTTCTATATAACGTTCCTTTTTTTTGTATTTTCTGACTTTCATTGTTATAATTGTGTGTTGAAGGGAACAACTGACTCCGCCATCATGTAAATCATTATTTTTCGTAGCATGACTATGAACAAGATCAAGAACATTAGGTTACACAAGCCAACACTAAAGTTTTCGGCATTAAAAATTTACAAGTAGACTCTCACGCAGGTATTGATATAGATAAAATACAAAATGTGCTTGATTTGCAAGTCAGTGTGAGTCACATAATACATGATTTTTTTAACATGTAGATATCTTCAATGAAGCCAGAATTGGTGATTGACTTTCTACAAATGGCTGAAGCAGCTTTCGAAATAAACAAAAACTTGTAAATACTCACAATTTCATTCTTGGATAGCTTAAACAGTAAAACAGTGAGCTTATTTTTCTTTCTTAAGACAGCAGCTATTAAACAAGAATGAAAAATACCTGCGCAAAATGATGCGTAAACATAATAGCCAATAACAAAACAAATGACTAAAACAAAATTGTGCATGAGCGGTGATTTCAAGGGTTGTTATTTTTATTTCTTGAAATACAATATCGAATTATTTATATCGATTCAACTTTATTGAGATTTCTTTTGGTGATCTTTTGTTGAGTTAAAAATGAGGTTTTATTTTGACTATTTGTTTGTTGTTAAGCTCAAAGGTACATAATAGGTTATCTAAGCTGTGCCCATCAAGGGTATCGAAACCTGGTTTTTAGCTTTGCAATTCTTCATGCTTACCGCTGACCCAATGGGGGCTCTTTTGACAGATGAGTAGAGATTTTTCTCATGTAAACTAGCATATAATAATGGCTCTTAAAATTGAGAGATTCCTTATTAAGTAAAATGTTAAGAAAAATCACTGAATGTGCTGAAGACAAATATATCTTGATGGTTTTCATGAATTATATTTTTATTTTCCTATTACTACTTCCATTGATGCATTTTACAGGGGTAAAATGATTCCAGCAGAACTAGAGAAAAGAGTTCGTGAGGCAAAAGCCAAAGGTCAGCGCCCATTTTTCGTTAACTGTACAGCTGGAACCACGGTGCTCGGCGCATTTGATCCTATTCATCCCCTAGCGGATATCTGTGAAAAATACGACATGTGGCTCCATGTGGACGTAAGTCGTGTGTTATGTTTCTTGTTATATATATAATGAATAACTTTACAAATGTGGCACTTGAGATGTTAAAAATTATCAGTATTACCAAATTATTAAATTGTATATATAAACTAGCCTAAATTAGTTATGGTATAGAAAGACAGAAAATGCGTTAAACATTACCTTTGACGTCCGTACCTTAGAATATGTTAAAAAAGATCTACATACAATAACAAAACTGAGTTATACTGAAAATTCTTGCTGGCTTTATTTGGTAAACGAATTGGCACAAGTTACCTCCAAATAATATAATCACATTTCAAACCTAAGCACAGATTTCATAAAATGTAACATCGTTCCTTACGAACACAAGTCATTATTTTATCCTAGGCTGCCTGGGGTGGAGGCTGTCTACTCTCGCAAAAATACAAGTCTCGCCTGGCTGGCATCGAAAGGTATATTTATTGTATTTTTTTTAAAACAAAGCAGCAGTAATAATTATTTGTATAGATATTAAAGAAATAGGTAAAAATAATACCGATGGAAACAAAACTTCCAATATCTTAAAAACCAGACGTTAAAATATAATTTGTTTAATAAAATCAACTCACGGATAATACCGAGCTCTAGCTACTGATGAAGAATCAAATAACAATAATGTTTATTTGTTTTGGTAAATAAACGATTTCTCTATATTAAAGTTTCCAACTGAAGCTTTCAGATAGCAGTAATTTATAGCTGCTCTTTCCAGATTTATCTCAAACTTTCTCATGTTGTTTTCAATTAAAGCAAATGAAAACAGAGATTTATATTTTATTTTAAGGAATTTTAGGCTTTGGAGTAGCAATAGAAACATTATTCTATTACCAATGACTGCTTGGAGATTCCTGGCAATAATAACGTTTCAGATCAAAGTAAGCACCAACACGAAGATTGAAACGTCACCAGTACCAATAATCCCCTAGCGGTTGTTGCACGTACCTATTTCCAATCAAAGACTTATTCATATAGAACAGTTATGGAATACGTTTTTCCGAATGATGAAGGTTCTTTTTGTGTTTTTTAACAGTGATCGGTATAGCTTTTTTACCATTGTGACCAGCCTCAACCATATCTACCACGTTCTTCCAGTAAAAAGATATTGTTTCGTGTCACGTAATGATAATAATAAACATAAATAAACAAATCTGTGTTACTACCTTTAAAATATGATTTGTAAATCGATTAGATAAAATTTATAATAATTACAATTCAATCGCTTAATCTCGTTCACACTATACCAGTTGTTGTTCATGAAAACTAATGATGATGATTTATATATATATATATCGCCTAGACCACTTTTATGTCTGTCGTATCCCAGCCGGCCTGATGAGTCTTGGTATTGCTCGAAAGGCCTAGTCAGCACTGGATATGGTAGATGGAGTGTGTTTGACATATTATAACATATTCTTATCTCACTCAAGGGTTCTTAGAAATATTAAAGACATTCAAAATACAGATGGCTTAAGTTTGGGTATTGAAGATATTCAGTTAAACTACCATATAACCTTTAAGTATGATAACAGAGTATCTCATTGTTGAAAACTCCTTATCATTCTTTTAAAATAGAGTTCAGAATACTGCATCTCTTATTCTGTATAAGTCCACTTTTTGCCATATATAAACTATATTGATATTTTCTTACCGTCCCGATTCAGATCTCAGTCGGTCACCTGGAATCCACATAAGTTGATGGGTTCTCTGCTCCAATGCTCAACTGTTCACTTCAAAGAGGATGTAAGTAATACAGGGTGAATTTAACGCATATTCGAAGTTTTGGTTTAGTGCTGAAACCTGATTAACATGT